TGTAGGCAACCTTTGAAGCAAGGTTCGATCAAATATTTTCAAAACGCTTCCCTGGAGTATCAAAACGGGTAAAATTGGTCCATGACTACTCACTTTGCCTTTACCCGAAAACTCTTCGTGTTTCCGAGTAAAGAGGGGCAGCTGTGAGCATGTAATTTTTACCCTACCAAAATATTCCTACAAAATTAATAAATAAATTATTCATATTTTTTTTAGATATTTGTTAAATTATTTGAAATTATTTGCATTTAGTTGCATTTTTCATTTTTGAAATCATAGAAAACAACAAAAATATTTAAATCCTCATTATATAGCATTATTAGGTTTTTAATTGAATTTAGCACTTAATTACATGATTTGATCGTATTAGAAGAAAATCACAAAAATAGTTTATTAGTAATTTTTCCTTTTAATAATTGAAGATTAACTAATTATGTAAATAATACAAATAGATAGTTGGTTTAATTTTACAAATTAAGAAAATTTAGGATTTTTTTAAATTAAACAGATTTTTAAAAGTTAATTAAACAAAATGGGGTTTAAATTAGCCTAAAAACGGACTGGGCCAGTGTAAAAACCAGCCCAATCCCTAAAATCTAGCCCAAACACCTGAGCCCAATATCCAGAATCTGATCCGCCCCATCACTAAACCAAACGACGTCGTTTAAGTGCCAGGCGATCCTGGCTGTTGATCTTCACTAGATCTAACGGTCCGGAACTGGCCTGACACTTAGTATATAAGTGTCTAAACGACTCCTACCCCCCTCATTTTTNCAAATCACCTAAGATCCACCCTATTCTATCCCTTTACACTTTCTAAACATCACCTCACCCCAAAAACCCGTAAACAATTAACAAATCTAACCCTTAAAAACAACCGAAACCCTAACGCCACCCTAGCCCCGCCGCCGGAAATCGCCCTACGGCGGCGGTGGACCTCCAAAACCCCTCAAACTCATACCATACACTCTCCTCACCTCCCTGAACCTCGCCCTACCAACCAAATTCCCAAAAACCCCACATAAAACCCTAGATCTTAGATCTAGGGTCTCCGAAACCCTAGATCTATTTTCCATTTTTTCAACTTAGGCCGTTTAATAATCCTCCTTCCAAGATCTCCCATTAAGGATCTCATATCCCAGACGAGAGTCTTGGCATGAGGGTTTTTAGCGGCTAGATCTATTATTTTGATATACTTTATGATTATTTCCTGTTTTTCATCTTTATATTTTGTGTCGATTGCTGTTCTTCTTTCTTTATTTTATTTATTTATTACTGTCTGATATTCTATTTAAATTATTTAATTAAACAAACTAAAAATACATATATAAAATCAGTGCTTAGATATATTCTGTGTTCCTTAATTTTTATATTATTACGCATTTTATTCTGTATTGTTACTTCTTTTTTTATCCTTTTTTGCTTTCTGTTTTGTTTATTATTTATTTTTATCTTTATTAGTTCTGAGTTTATTTTAGTATTACTGCTTTGTTATTTATTTTGTTAAATTAATCTCCATTTTCTTTTTAAAAATTTATTTTACTGTTGTTTGTTTGGTTAAGAATTGGGCCTCACTGAAGTGGCCCGTTCTACTTGGCTCATAAATTGGGCCTGTCTGAATGAATAGACAGGTCCATAGCTTTGTAAAAGCTTAAGAGCCCAAAGTCCTTAGGCCCAGAGTCACCTGACTCAGGCCCAGAACCGATCCAGTTCTGAAGTAATTCCAAGACCCTTAAGTGTCAGTTTTGGAATCCTAATTCTGAAAATTATTTAAAAAATACTAGAAACTTCTAGAATAGGGACAACTATCCTAATGCTGAGTAGGAAAATAGGGATAAGATCCAAAAATATCCAGAAATTGGACTCTTGTCCCTTTTCTAAGATAAGGAAGGTACTAGAAATTGGAAAACTGTCCATTTCTGTTAAGAAAGATGCCATTTCCCTAATTTATAGGGAATTCTGGTAGATTCTTTTATACCCTAATTCTCATCCCTTTTCACTCCCTCACTCTATAAATATACTCCTCCTTTTTCGTTAGAGGGGGATGGATTCTAGATCTGAATACACATTATGGACACATTATAGACTGCTTTAAGGTTTTGCTCTCTTTCAAAAGAAAAACTTCTGAAAATTAACCTTGATCTTTCAGAATCAAAATATACATTCCTTTCCTATTTTAAAAATCTGGTCGTCTTCTTATTCTATTGGGTTTCATTCGTTGCTGCGGCTTTACTTCAAGCTTTCAGATACTTATTTTCTTACTTATTTGTTTTTGCTGCTATCAAGGTACTTTCTTAAACAATGTAAATGTTTAAATCTTATTGTATCATGACTATGATTCTACTGGTTATCAAAAATCTGTGTTCTGTTTGAATATTGCATATAGTTGTTTGTTTGAGAGTTGAGTATGAAAACATGTAGAGCTAATCATTTACACTATTTTAGGCAATTTAAGTTATGTTAGCTTTATGTTAAAGGGTTCTGAAAAAATTATCAAATCTGTTGAAAGCTTTATGAAGTCATAAGATCGGTACGTTCGAATAATTAAAAATAAGAAAAGAATTTTTTTAGAAAAATTTGTTAGATGAGTAGTAGGCAGATTTGTTATCACTGCCCATGTTAGTGAGATAATTTAGTTCAGTTTTATATTATATCCTCTCATGCCTTGCGTTATTTAGTAGTTTTACTATATCATTAAACAATTAAAATATAGTAATTCCAATACTATTAGTTTAAAATCATATAAAGATGGATTTTACAAGCATCCTAACAGTAATCAGGGTAAGAATTCAGGCCCATATCAATTAGGTCCATGAGATTGTACTCTGGGTCTTTGGCTAATAAAATGAGTTGAGGTCTTTACACTTTAAGATTTTTAAATGCAAATGAGTTTTAAAACTTATCACTTTAACATAGGTTAATATAAGAAATAGGAGACTTAAGCAATCAATAGGAAATTATCCTAATTTAATTTTTGGTTCGTATCCCCAGACCCCTTTTTAGTTTTCTGTTTTAAAAAGACAAACCAAATATAGGTAAAATCTGATAATTACTGTTATAAATTTCAAACTCATTCACACAAATATGCACTGGGCCAGAGTCACTTGGACTCATTATCATTAGGCCCAAATCATTTTTGAGTAATTTGTCAACAAATGGATATTAGGCCAGAGTCAACCGGACTCATTATTAGGCCCAACCTTCTTGAATTAAATGTGTTTAATTAATTGAATGCTTAATAACATTGAGTTGGGCCCGAATCACATGGACTCATTATCACCAAGCCCAAATGTCTTTAGTTAATTTCATTTAGTTGTCCATAAAAATGAACATTGGGCCAGAGTCATTTGGACTCATCATCAGGCCCAGATCCTTCTGAATTAAGTGTGTTTAGTTGATTGATTGCTTAATAACATGGTATTGGGCTAGGGTCATTTGGACTCCATGATCACTAGGCCCAAATCATTTAGACTGAATTCATCTAGCTGCCTTAAAATATGCATTGGGCCAGAGTCAATTAGACTCAAGCAGGCCCAAATTCTTTTGAACTGAATTCATTAGCTAGGCCCAAATATATGTCTTGGGCTAGAGTTCATTTGGACTCTATCCTTATCAGGCCTCAAACTTTAAATCTAGGCCTGCTTGACAGATAATACATAGGTTGCCCCCATCTAATACAAACAAACATATCACCTAGTATCGAACCTTTACACTTAGCCATATGACATAAAGTATTTAGTTTAGAGACATAAGCATAACTTAAGGTATTTATAATCAACCTAATTATTACAATTATGTACACGCACACGTGACATAGTTGTGATGTCGAAAACAAACCAAGGTACATGTTCGCGTGATCATGGTCAAACAATCTAAGTAAATAAAATGCCTTAATTAAACACTCGTAGAAATGCTTTAGGCGCGGATTTTTATCGTGATTGCGTACATGTCCGCGCGATGTGATCCCGATATCCAAAATTAAATCGAGGTATGCGTTCGCGCAACTTCGGCCAAACAATCTTAACTTAATAAAGCGCAATTAATTGTGTACACGTTCGCGTGATATAATTTTAGTGCCCCAAACAAAGCAGACTTACACATATATGGTCTGTTTCGAAGATTAAATCCATAAACGCCATATTTAAAAGCGGTAAAAGGTAAAAACACATAGGTTCTAAAATACGTAATTAAACAATCTAATTAAGCCAGGTATGATTAAAACGACCGTGCTAAAACTATGGAATTCGAGAGTGCCTAACACCTTCTTCCAGGTTAACAGAATTCCTTACCCGGTCTTCTGATTTTCGCAGACTTTAAACGGGGTCAAACTTCCTTGATTTGGAATTTAAAATAAACCGGTGACTTGGGACACCATAAATTATCCCAAGTGGCGACTCTGAAACTAAATAAATAATCCCATTTCGATTAATGTCACTTAAATTGAAAAAACTCCATATTCCCCTCGTGAAAAAGGAGGTGTGACATTCATAACTTCAAATTTTCAACTATGCATAATAAGCGTTGAAACGACCTTGGGTCATCCAGGACCCCAATAAAATATACACATAAATCCAAAATTATCATACAGACCTACCAGAATCATCAGAACACCGATACAAGGTTGTTTACCAAGATTGTTGACTGTGGTCAACTCTAACTACTTTAAAGTTCAAAAGATCAAATTTTCTTTGAAGAAACACATTTAAACTTTCCGAAATCAAAACGCACTACGCACACAAGTCATAAATCATCAACTAAAGTTGTTCAAAGTCATAAAGCACGGAATAGAGAGCTAGAACTCAAAACTACCTATCGGGTCGTTACATTCTCCTCCTCTAAAAGAAATGTTCGTCCTCGAACGGACATAGAAATGTACCTGAACTAGTAAAAAGATGTGGATATATACTCCTCAGATCGGATTCGAACTCCCAAGTAGCCTCCTCAGTCGGCTGACCTTCCCAAAGCACCTTCACAGAAGGAATTTCCTTAGATCTCAAATTCTAAACTTGCTGATCTATAATAGCTACCGACTGTTCTTCATAAGTTAGATTCTCATCAAGCTGCATTATTCTGAAGTCTAATACATGCGACTTGTCTTCATGAAATTTTTGAAGCATATAAACATGAAATATTAGATGTACCCCTACTAGGCGAGGAGGCAATCCAAACCTATAAAAAACCTCTCTAACTCTCTCTAAGATCTTAATTGGGCCAATAAACCTTGGGCTCAACTTGCCTTTTTTCCCATATTTCATCACGCCCTTCTTAGGTGAAACTTTCAAAAGTACCTTCTCGCCCTCCATATAAGCCATATCATGGACCTTCTTGTCTACATAACTCTTATGACTGCTCTGAGCTATATGAAGATGATCCTGGATCAACTTCACCTTATCTAAGGCATCACAAACTGAGTCCGTACTCGACATCCTAGCCTCACCGGGCTTAAACCAACCAATAGGAGAACGACATCGCCTACCATATAAAGCCTCATACGACGTCATATGAATATTGGACTGGTAGCTATTGTTGTAGGCTCCGCCAATAGTAGAGTTGTCTCATCATGTAGCTTTCTTAATCCCTACCGAGGTAAAGAATATGAAGCAATTTATTGAGGGTTTGACTTATAGAATCAGGGTTGATATTTCTTGAGAGTCAAAGATTGGGACTACCTTCCATCATGTCATAATAATAGCTTGGAGGATCGAGTGTAGTCACAGTCAGGGGAGAAAGGACTTGATGAGAGATAAGAGGCCACATCATTATGGTAGTTTCAATGGTACCTCATCTGGAGTTAGGGTTAGTTTGGTAGAGGCCATCATGGTAGGGTAGCTTATTATGCATAGTATGTAGCCCATGGTGCAGTGGTTCGACCATCCTTCAACACTCTAGTTCCATCATCTTTTAGTGCTCTCAATAAGTTCTTATCATGCTCCGTCTGTTCAGGGTTCTTCTAGTGGGAATTCAGGCCATCAGGGGTAGATTCAGGCTCATCAGCCTCGTTAGCTAGGTGTTGTTATGAGTGTAGAGAGTTTGTCCATATGAGGAAGTATTGCCCGGAGCTTGGTAGCGACACAACTCTGCATATTTCTCAATCAGTAGTTCCCACATTGTTACATTACCCCATACCCAATCAGCTAGAGGGGGAGGATATACTACAAGAGGTCACCGTAGAGAATAAGTTCAGGTTGGTGGATGTCCGACCAATGGCAGCCAAGCTCGTTGCTATGATTTTCCTGGTAGGCCGAGGCAATGGCCTCAGATGCTATGATCATTGGTACGATTTCAATTTGTCATATAGATACTTCTGTGTTGTTCAGTCCGGGGTCTACTTATTTATATGTGTCATCGTATTTTTCTCCTTATTTATATATGCCTAGTAGTTCTCTTAATATTTCTATTTATGTATTGACACCTGTTGGTGATTCTATTATGGTAGAATGTGTACATCAGTCTTGTGTAGTTAGTATTAGGGGTTATGAGACTAAGGTTGATCTTCTATTGCTAAATATGGTAGATTTGGATGTGATTTTGGTTATGGATTGTCTATCTCCATATCATGCTATTCTTAAATATAACGCTAAGACTGTGATGTTTGCTATGCCAGGATTATTGATGTTGGAATAGAGGGGTTATCTTAGTCATACTCCTAGTAAGGTGATTTCATTGCTGAAGACTCAACAGATGGTTGAGAAGGGGGTGTTTAGCGTATCTAGCTTTTGTTAGAGATACTAGTGTTGAGGCTCTTATTTTTTACTTAGTCCAGTGGTGAGGGAGTTTCAGGATGTGTTTCCTACAGATCTATCGGGCATGCCACCTGATCAGAATATTGACTTTGGTATTTATTTGGTGCTGGGAATGCAACCCATATTTATTCCCCTATACCGTATGGCTCCAACTGAGTTGAAGGAGTTGAAGAAGCAGTTGTAAGAGTTATTAGACAAGGGATTCATCAGGGCGAGTGTTTCCCCTTAGGGTGCACCGGTGTTATTTGTGAAGAAGAAGGATGGTTCCATGAGGATGTGCATTCATTATAGGCAGTTGCACAAGGTCACTATCAAGAACAAGTACGCATTGCCTCATATTGATGATTTGTTTGATCGGCTTTAGGGTGTCAGGGAGTTCTCGATGATTAATTTGAGGTCGGGTTAACACTAGTTGAAGATTATGGCTTCAGACATCCCTAAGATGGCGTTCAAGACTCATTATGGACATTACGGGTTTTTGATGATGTCTTTTGATTTGACTAATGCCCTAGCAGCTTTCATACATTTGATGAAAAATATGTTTTAGCCATATTTGGACTCTTTTGTCATTGTATTCATTGATGATATCTTGGTATATTCTCTTAGTAGGGAGGAGCATGAGTAGCATTTGAGTATTGTGCATCAGATTCTGAGGGAGAAGAAGTTGTATGCTATGTTTTCCAAGTGTGAGTTTTAGTTTGATTCTATGAAATTCTTGGGCCTCTTGGAGTCTAGTGATGATATCAAGGTGGATCCGAAAAAGATTGAGGTGGTTTAGAGTTTGGCCTAGACCTTCTACAGCTGCAGAGATCATGAGTTTCTTGGGTTTGGAATGTTATTATTGTCGCTTTGTGGAGAGATTTTCATCTATTGCAGCACCGTTGACCAATTTGACTTAGAAGGGCGCTCTATTCAAATGGTCCGATGATTTTCAATTTTTATATTGCCTTCAGGATCCAGGATGTACACTTTTATTATGATGCTTCGCACATTGGCCTTGGTTGTGTGTTGATGCAGGACGGTAGGGTGATTGCCTATGCATCACGCCAGATGATGCCCTATGAAAAGAATTATCCAATTCATAATTTGGAGTTAGTAGCTATTGTGCATGCACAGAAGATTTGGAGGTATTACTTGTATGGTGTGTCATGTGAGGTTTACACTGATCATTGGAGTCTTCAGCATTTGTTCAGCAAAAGGATTTGAATTTGAGGTAGCAGAGGTGGTTAGAGTTGTTAATGGATAATGATATCACTATCTTGTATCATTCACATAAGGCGAATGTGGTAGCAGATGCTTTAAGTAGGAAGGCGGAGAGTATGGTGAGTTTGGCATTTATTCCAGTAATGGAGAGGCCTTTGGTTCTGGATGATCAGGCTTTGGCCAACAGATTTGTGAGGTTGGATATTTCTGAGCCTAGGAGAGTTCTTGCTTGTATTTTTGTGCAGTCTTCCTTATCTGAGTGCATTACGGTTCGCAAGTATGATGATCTTCATTTGTTTATCCTTACGTACATGGTGTTATGAGGTGATTCTAAAGAGGTGGTCATTGGTAATGATGGTGTATTGCGACTCCAGGGTCGAATTTGTGTTCCTACTGTGGATGGTTTTAGGTAGTTGATTCTTAAGAATGCTCATAGCTCGAGGTATTCTAATCATCCAAGTGCTACGAAGATGTATCGTGATTTTATGCAGTATTACTAGTTTCTGAGAATGATGAATGACATTTTTAGGCATGTTTCGCAGTGCTTGAAGTGTCAACAGGTCAAGTATGAGCATCAGAAACTAGGTGGTCTGCTTCAGAAGATGGATATACTAGAGTGAAAGTAGGAGCGTATTACTATGAACTTTGAGGTAAGACTGCCACAGACTTTTAGGAAGTTTAATGTTGTTTGGGTCATTGTGGATAGATTGACCAAGTTTGTGCATTTAATTCCGGTCATGACTTCTTACACTATAGAGAGGTTAGCTCATATCGACATTAGAGAGATTATCTATTTGCACGACGTGCCTATCTCTATCATCTCAGACTGTGGTACTCAGTTCACATCGCACTTTTGGAGAGCAGTTCAGTGAGAGTTGAGCATGCATGTGGATCTTAGCACTATATTTTGCCCAAAGACGGATGTGCACTCTGAGCGAACCATTCAGATTCTTGAGGATATGTTGAGAACCTGTGTTATTGATTTCGAAGGCCATTGGGATCAGCTCCTACCATTGACAGAGTTCGCTTATAACAACAGCTACCAGTCCAGTATTCATATGGCAGCATGTGAGGCTTCATATGGTAGACAATGTCGTTCTCTGGTTGGTTGGTCTGCGACTGGAGAGGCAAGGTTGTTAGGCACAGACTTGGTTTGTGGTTCTTTAGAGAAGGTGAAGTTGATTCACGGGCGACTTCGTACAATGTAGTCCAGGAAGAAGAGATGCAGATAGGAAGGTTCGTAATGTCGTTTTCATGGAAGGTGAGAAGGTACTTCTTAGAGTATCTCATATAAAGGCCGTGACGAGATTTGAGAAGAAGGGCAAGTTGAGCCCTAGCTATATTGGCCCTTTTGATATTTTAGAGAGAGTTGGTGAGGTAGCTTACATGCTTAATTTTCCACCTATCTTGTCGGGAGTTCATTTGGTATTTCAATGTTTTCATACTTTGAAAGTATTATGAAGACAAGTCACTTATCTTAGATTTCAGTTTAGTGCAGTTTGATTAGAATATGGCTTATGCAGAAGAGCCGGTGGCCATTTTGGATAGGCAGCTTTGGAAATTAAGGTCAAAAGAGATTGCATCAGTGAAAGTCTAGTGAAGAGGTCAACCGGTCGAGGAAGCGACTTGGGCAAACAAACATGTTATGCGAAGCATATATTCTCATCATTTTCGAATTTTGTTATTTTTAAGCCCGTTCGAGGATGAACGTTTGTTTAAGAGCGACAAAATGTAACAATCTGGCCAGTCGTTTTGTGTATTAGAGCTTTGTTCCCCTATTTGATATTTCCCGTATGTCTATTTGATGATTTATGACTTTTGGAGATGGTTGGTTTGATTTTGGGAAGCCTTAAGAGTGAATTGGAACACTTAGTTTCATTTTTGGAAGTGTAAGGTATAAGAGTTGGTCAAGGTTTGACTTCTAAGCAAACGACCTCAAAATTGGGATTTGATTGTTCCACTAGATTCGTATAGTGATTTTGGACTTGTACGTATGTTCGGATTTGGATTTGGAGGTTCCTAGAAGGTTTTGACTTTATTTGTAAAGTTGGCAATTTAAAAAATTGAAGTGTTCTTAAGTTTGACTAATAGTTGACTTTGAGGTTATCAGACTCCAATTATTGTTTCGATCTTGGGATAGGTTCGTATTATTGTATGGAACTTGTGTGCAAAGTTTGGTTGAGATCTGATGTGTTTAGGCATGAATCAAACGCTTGGTTGGAAGCTTAGAAGTTCTTGAACGTAAGAGAAGTTCTATGACAATCCAAACCGATGGGCTTTGACAAGTGCCCGAGTCCTACCTGTCGAACACCCCTAAGCATGTGTCTAAGATATAAACATGAATTAAAGGTAGGTCATGAATAACATCTGTCAATAAACTGTTGAATCATGTGAATAACATTCGTGAAAAAAACATGTCCAAAATACATATATACATATACATGCGGAATACGGTAGGGCGAGCCGACAAGGCTGGTATAGACAACTATATATCCAAAACTAGATGCTGACAAGACCATATACTATCCAACTATACATGACTATCTACAGACCTC